TCTGAGGTCAGAATCAGATGACCGGCTCATTGTGAATTATGTTTTGACTCCGTTAGTGATACAATCTTGGTTAAAGCTTCTGATGTATTTCATTACCCTTCTAAAGCAGGTTGGTCTATTTCAACGGCTGAAAACAAAGGCGGCAAAATTTAGCGGCTTTGTCTCTGAGAGTGCCTCAAAGTAGGAAAGTAGTTGGCGCTGTAGATCCAATACATGGTGTTTGAATAAGCTGAGTTAAAACCTTATCAAAAGCTGGAAAGCGACGAGGTAAAAATTCTGGTTAAGCGATTGTGAGTGTACAGAGTGGTACTAGTAAACTTTGGCGAATAACTGCAAGAGTTGTGACTTCGATTAAACAATCTCGACCTTAAGTCTTCTAAAGAAGTCTTTCAATAGGCTCAGCTCGTCAACCAGAGAACAAAGACTATAAGTACAGCTAGGATAAAAATTGTCACGTATATAATTCAACTTTAGTTTTTTTTCGGCAGAGACGTTATTTTTCGATGCAGGTCCCGTAGCACTATCACTAGGAACACTTAAGTAGATAAATGGAAGCCCAAGTCTCTTTTCGTAGGAAGTTATTTCTTCCAAGTTGCACATTACTTTCTTCTGTTACTCTCAACCTAGACATCACCGAAACACTGATGAGTCGATGTCAGGCATATGCGGTGCAAACTTCCAAGCAAAACGGACCAAACTTTTAGGCTTGATTTGTAGCTTCATGGTGGCTGACGTGGTACAGTTAACCAAATATGAGTTAATTAGTATAATGCTATTGTCTGCCTTTGCACGAGGCTAGAAAAAATAGAATGAAACGTGAGCACAGCCGCGTGGCTCTATTCCTCTGCCGGAAAACCTGTTTAAGAAGCCGAGAAAACGTTGCAAGGCTTACCGAGACAATCATTATACTTGCCGCTATTAGAGGCATCAATAGGATACACACAGACGTTAGTAACATGTGATGAAATCTTTACTGTTGTAAGAAACTAGTGTGTCTGGTGTAGATTGGGAAATCAAAAGTGGTAATCTATTTATGTTAGGAAGTGTTGTGGTTCAAATTATACAATTCCAGCATTAATTTGAGCCAATGGAAGTTATGCGTAATAGGCCCCAACAGGGCATGTGCACTTGGTGAGCAGTTTGTAGGTGGGTCCGCTTTGACTAGCGTCGAATTTCTTCACCTATGTCCAGAAGTATTTATACAGTGGATTTTACTGTGACGGCAACATAATTCCTTAGGAGGTTTCAAAATATATCCTACTAAAGTAGCTGGGCCTAGTTTTCTTTATCTGAAGATTAAACATGCTTTGCTAGCGGAATTAAGTGGACCGTTCACGACTGCTTTCAGAAGTCAGTTGACAGCCAGGTATTTTGTTCTGAATATAAAAATCTATTTCGAAATGGATTTTTGTGTCCGACGAATAAATTGGTAGGCTTTGGAGAGCTGGTGCGTCGAGCATTAACTACGTAGTATGTTCGGCGGACTAATAGAAACCGTCTGACACGTGACCTAATTGAGGTTTCCACAAAAGCTGAGGTCGTTTCTTGTATAATAATGCGCTTTTCCTTCTATTTCTGCATTCGCGGAAGGAAGAAAAAAGGCGTACGCGTGTCTCGCCGGCTTTCCTTTAGGCAGCAGTGCTCGGTCAGTTTACAGGTGTTGTGCATCACCTACAGAAACGCAAAACATTTGGAGTACGGAAATAATTAGTATTTTGCGCTAATTTATGCTAGATTTAATACAACAAACTATCTACAGTTTTAGACAGGAATGAAATATTGGAAGGATGATGTTTTACTGGAAATATTGTAGGCGGCTTGCACGTTCTACCGGATAGACATGTTATGAAAAATAAACTTTTGATGATCTCACCAGTTATTCTAGACATAGGCGTACGGTTTGGAGCTTACCTCGCCGGAATAAGTAGTTGTTGATTATGGAAATGTTTGCCAAATGCGATAGTTTTCTCTTGACACGGACTACATCACGCCATATCTATTTTTCGGGTCACATATGAGGATAGTTGCAATAGGAAAAAGCCTGAGGCCGAAAGCACTTAACTCAGTGAGTGTTAATGAAATAAAACACAGGAACGGTTCGAATGCTCCGGCGAAGGTAGCAGCACTGCTTTGGGGCTCAATCTAATAAGTGACCTATAGGATCCCTCAGTGACTGCGTTTCAGATAGTGGCCACGAAAACCATGGGTTTGGTCAAGTATCTGCAAGATCAATTTGATAGTGATACGTAAGTTTCGACGGTGCAAACTTTTGCTAACAAATTGTAATAAGGTAAAAGATCCAAAAGCGCAGTCCATTGGAGTGTATAATACCTACTGGATTTTGGATCTCAGGCGCAGCTAGCGCCACTAAAACAGCATATCGCTTTCCACAGTTCATTCCCATGATCCAAGCCATTTCAAGTTGGTCAGTTGAAACAAATCCCTAGAATATATCCCACTGAATAACGACTGAAAGATTCATAGCCGGAAATTTAAAAAAAGGTTATAAAGGAGCGCACTATTGAGAAATCATTCTCTTTGAAGCCAGCCTATTTCTAGAGCGATTGAAATCAGACTGCTGAAGATTCGAGTAGTACGCGTTCAGGCAATACCAATGAACACGCTTTGTAAGCATTCCCTTGTATCATGTTAATTACTCATTTCAGCACTCTGCAGCTTGCAGTGTTACGCGACGATGTATTGTAGGCAGTTGCAAAAACTGAGTTATCATAGAGCCTAGCTGAAGTAGAGGGCTTATATTATAATTCCACAAATGCGTTAAAAGTGGCCAGTGCGGGCGCAGTTATAAAATTAAGCTAGTGGCCAGGTGGATATTGTACTGTATTTGCAGCTGTTAAACTTTGCTTCGCAAATTACCTTCTACTTGGAGTTAAATTGTCGTTTAGTTGGGAGCTAGAGGTAATCAATTTAGCTGAGAGTTTCTCCTATTAACAGACTTACATGTTTAATAACACCTGGAAGCCTTCCGAAATAATTATTTTCGATAATATAGCAACAAACTTTTTAACCTGCGGGATGGGTAAAACTTTTGCGCTTACCAACGGACGTTTTTTATTTCTGTATTGTCTTCCAAATTAAAAATTTTGTATATATATTTTGCGATTGTGCGATTTATAGTCCAACTAACTGGACGGCTTATTAAGTACAATATGTGCTCAAAGTTAAGAATATTGCAAATTTACCAAAGCTGGATATGTTTATAATATATGGGTGATGTTGAGTTTTTCGCTTGGCCTTAAGAATCCCAGCCCACTGCGTACATGTGTGCGGGTGCATTGCTCACAATATAAGGATCGCATGTTTACCTCGCGATTATATTCGTTAGAATACACGGTTCTTTACAAGCATTATGCGCTGTTGTGTTTTTGTATCAGGTCTAGTAAGCTTAAAAAGAGAGAAATGATGTGGCTGGGTTCCAGAAATGGACGGCAAACAAAATTAGGCTCCGAAAATATCCCGCTTTTTACCAGCTGCGTTCAGACGTCCAATAAATTCGAAGATTGGGCATTCACACCACTTTCCTTAAATCCTGTTTTACAAGCTTTCACATCAAAAGAAACAATATGCAATCATTTCGCCATTAATAATTTGGCCATGAAATCAATAAGCTCTACTTATTTCATAACCTAAAACAGCCATGTACTTTTCCTGAAATAGTGGCATTTGAAGAATCTTTAGCAACCTTCAACACGGTATAAAATTGAATAAAAGAGCATAGGAAAATTGGTTCTCGTTTAGCAAAGACAATGAGTTGATACATGATGAGTTGTCACGGAACTGCTGAGTTTTGCTAGCATATGCATATCCCGCTAGCTAACGCCAATCACGAGAGAGAGTTTTGATGGTGCCATTTATTGTTGATATCGCTCTTGAAATAGCGAATTAAAATTTGCAGCCGCTGTAGGTAGTCCGATGAAATTCAGGTGGCCAAAAGCACACAGTGCATTTTTCTCCTACGAAGCGATGCTCCCTGCCTCCATGTGAGATGCAGCACACGAAATTTAATCTACAGAGCAATTACAGCATGCATAGTGGAAATGTTGAACCATAGCTGGGCTTGCTAGCCAAAGTTAACTAAACATCTCGGCAGATGATTTCTGCTTCGTCAATTACGTATATACGCAAAAATAGAATGGTTATCAAAGTAAATTGCTTTAAGCGTTGTACCTACAGATTAAGGCCGGCCGTATATTTATCAGTGACGAGCACGCATTCGTGAATGGTAAGAGCCTTTGAATAGAGCTTTGCTTCGGATACTAGCCAAAACTGCATATCTAAATAATTATATTATGGTTTATACTAAGGAACCTATATGTCGACAAAATAGAGTGGACTATGTAAGGACAAATTAGCTACATAGGGTTGATCTGCGACCATGTATAAAACTAATTCCAAGCAAATGACGAAAACTGCCTTTAAATTAAAGAGAAAATTAGATTTGAACAAATGTGTAACATTGGCCCCTACAATCTCCACCAAAAATAGGAAATACCAACTGTAAAAACTAGTGATTAACAATTGATTACCGTTGACTTGTTATATATTATTTCAGTAAAAAATACTGTATTCACACCGCTAGATTAAATGTAACCCGGCTTATCTTCCTGAAAAGGAAGTAGAAAAATATCCGTGCATTTAACAAGTAAATAGCTACCAAGAATTTTATTATAACCCAACAATGGAAATATTACTGGTAACACTAATTATTTGCAATATTAGTCAAGCATAACTCATTTAGGTTTTAAGTTGCTGCTTTGGTTCTTGTATTAAATGACAAAGGTTACGTAAGCACCTAAGCATAAATGATATTGTTTAGTTTATATATTTATATTTGATTTGTCATTTTACGCAGTAGATGCATAGTATATTTTTCAGGTATTAGTCGCACAGTACCTGATCATACTTGAGTGGAACCCGAATAAATTCCACATGAATTTTGTCGATATCCTATTCAGTATATGTTGTAATATATTTTACAGCTGAAAGTGACACATCCAGCGATACATCGCCGCCAACATCCACAGATTCCACAACGAGTACTTTGACTGATAGTGTTTACAGCTCACCTGGTGAGTTTGTCTGCACACTGTAATAACGCACTTATATGATGAATAATTTAACTTCCTCTGAACGAATAAGGGCGTAAGTAATACAGTTTCCTTATTCCTAACTCACTGGCAGATATGCACTCAATGCCACGCATTATAAGCGCTTAAGCGTTGCACATGTAATTGTAGGCAGTATAAACACAATCTATTTATTAGGTATATTTTGCTGCAATTATTTTCATAAATTATCCCGTCAAATGCCCAACAACCTAAATATTTGACTGTATGTCAAAGCGCATATAAACATCAAGTAAATACACTCAACGTAGCAAATATATATTGAATGCGGATGTGAATATTTTGATTATTAAATCTTCTCTGTTCCATTCATGCGAACCATGGAATACGCGATCTATGCTGCTCCGTCTGAATGCAGCCGCTGACATGGACACGACAACCGAAAATGTTTGGATTACGCAGGATTGGACCGAGAGTGAAACAACTGCAGTAGGTGAGCCCTAGTTAGGATTCCCTTAATATAAAATTTTGTTAACAAGCATTTTGGTTCATGGTAAGTCGGACGGCTGTTACAGGAACATGGATCAATTTGTTTATACGAGTAAATTAAAAAGGATTTAAATCCCCTCAAACTAACAAATTTAATCATCTATTCACGTATTAGGCTGGTCTTTTGTTATGGCAAAGCGTTTGAGGAACTAATTCATTGTGCACATAACTTCAATGATTTAATGTCAAATTTGATTAGTTAGACCAGTACACCTGGTAGTTACATAGGTGCTATACGCTGAAGGATAATTGCATGTTACACTTTGAGAATTGGACGGATCATGAATTCGAGTAAGAGAAAGTAAGTGCATGAGTACGTCATCTATCCTATGTTTACTTACGTTATATTTACATGCACGGTCGACCGAATCGGCTATTTTTGGATGACACATGCGAAGACACAATAAATCACTATCGCACTTTGGACGTCTGTGTGTTTTGCTAATTTGAAAGAGTGAATTTGAGGTTGGTTGCTACCGTTTATTTGAAGAAAAATGTTGCTCACCTTATTTGCTCACGTAAAACTAACCAAGCCACTTTAAATTCGTCTCGTTGTCAGCAGTAACCCACACTCTATACTTACACAAACCTCAGCATTTATTCCTTTTGTAGATTGTGAATTCCAATAGTATATTTGGAAGCAGGATGTTGAGACTGATTCAGTGCAATGTGATCATGCTTTAATCATGAATGCCAAACTTGAATTTCATATTCGACAATTTGCTTAATCCATGCACTGAAAATTTTCCATAAATAGAGGTGCCAAATTCTCGAACAGTAGTCTGAACAGCTCAAAGTGTTGGTTAGCAATTTCGATGCATTTTCTGCTTATTCGGAAATAACCAGATTATCCTGAACAAGCAAGCAAATTTCGCGCTTGACGGATGATCGCTGCAATACATCATTTCCATGGTTATAGTAATAGTACCTGGTATCTTGCGGAGTGTAGGTTGCAATTATCCTCCTTGAACTATAGCGGATTTTACATTGGATATTGAAATAGCGTGGCTAGTCGCAATGAAGTGAATGCTGATTAGAATTCGCCTGAATCCTGCCCGTAATTTGATATCTTCAACACATAGTGCATTTATTGCAATTGCATGTTAAATTTATCGGTTATTGCTATTAGCAATATTGGTCCAAAAACCGAGTCCTTTTGCACAAAAGACGCGCCTAGTATGGGAAAAATTAATAAGCTCAGCACTCCAAACGTTGATTGCTTTGCGTGATAATGTTGGCGACTCACATCCTGTAATATTGGTGCACGGAAAAGAATGTCAAATTATCTACGCGATGGGATCTGGTCAACAAATCAAAGTAGAACACGTCATCGACCTCTTCTCATGCCTGCTGTATCGGTCTAACTATTCCTTGCGGTTACTGCAAACGTTGTGCATGAGTGCTCTGGACAAGAGTCATGTTTCCCCGGTGCAATAATTTTAGAATGTTAGAAATAACACAACAACGCATTATCGACGTTGGATTTCAATACCTTTGACAGCGCGGAGATAAGGGAATTGAGCGGATTTTTAGAGCTTTGTGCCAATTTCGCCGTTGTGATTCTGTTAATATTTGAAGCTGCCACATGGCAAAATCCATATACTGACCTAAGCAGTGCTGAAGTAGCAGAGACCTATGTGACAACAGTTGTCTTGCTGCTGTTCCTAGTGCACCTAATTGAATAATGTCGACTCTAAGGTAGCTGCAGTTACGTAGCTACGTCATTTTCTGTAATACGGATTCGTCAGTGAATTATGTGTGGGTTAAACGCGGAGTCGAGAATTGAAATGCTTGCAGGTTGCCTAATGTTAGAACTCCCCGAAATGTCGCAGCACATTGCTTCCTCAACAAGTTTACCGCTTCTATTTCAGCCAACTTAGACCAGCAGTCGTACGGGGTGAAGGAATATCCTGCCTGACATTATCAAGGCTATTGACGGCAATTTGAGTTTTTATCGCTGTACAATTATGCACTCTTTTTCTGACATGCTGCTTAGTCATCTCTGGACGGTTGAGTGTGATGGTTAAGTGGGGTTAGGCATTTATCCCAATTCTATGGCGTTGGTGAAATGCTATACTCTCTACAGGCTGCGTTGCGTGGCTTCTATTTTCTAGTTATGTGTCTTACAAAAGTAAACAGTTTTAGGCCCATTGAAACTATTGTCTTTGATGCATCCGCAAGCAGCTGATTAAATTTGTTGACAATTTTGATCCAAGTGACTTGCAGGTAGCGTTTAGCGAAAAGAACAGTATGGGAACGGATTTGCTCGTCCCATAGTTTGTGGAGAGCAATAATGCGTGCAATCGTAGAGTCCTCATTATAATATTCTGCATGCGCATTATATTCGGAAGTGATGACTGCATGATCACTACAACGTAAATGCAGTCTAATATGCTACTTCAAACATATGATCCTCTTTATCGAAAACATCCTCCTGCAATGATGTTCTATTACCTACTCTTAAATCAGCGGGCAAAACTACGCAAAATGTAGCAGAACGTAGGTTGCGAGCACTTGCATATCAGTTGGAATTGCACGCTTTAGTTTGCAGCGGTAGTAAATAATGTGAGCTGAAATCACCCCTATTACGAAGCTGGGTGTGCCTTTCCTATTGGCTGCATTTCAAATTGTCGTAAGTTAGCAGTTTATTTTTGCTGCATTTTTTGCGTTACACTGCAACGTAGACAGGTGTCTCTATCATTTACCTGCAGGTGGTAAAATTGATACTCGGCGAACTGTAAATCTGAAGCATCTAGGGCCTCACATTTTAGGTCTATTCGTTAAAGCACAATTAGCCCTTCAACATTCTTCAATGTGTCTATTATTTTGAGTCCCATTCTCGGCAGCGAGAATTTAGCGTTTGTCATTTTAGTGTGCAACCTTATCTCCGTGACACTAATCATATCGTAATGCTTCATAAGTTGGCGTGCTTTCTGGTCGACGGCTTCCTAAAAATCCTTGACAACTGCTTTAAAGGCAAGACATAATCTGGATGAATTTTTGGCCACGGAATTATAACGGAGTGATATGTGTTAGAATAACTTATTTGGTACTAGGTCAGCCGTTGTTCGCGTTTCTGTAGGGATGTTGACGAAATTGCCAAGGTGCGCCTCCCTCCTGTTTTGGACACAATGCCGCATCGTCTTACATATCTGTAAGACGAGCATTTTGTAATCGGCATTATACTTGCTTTTTCCGATAGGCTCAAATTTGGTTTCCTCTTAGCTTTAGCAGATATTAATTTGTTTTGTTGGAAGGTATTTCCATTGTCCATGTCAACGTTATAAATGTTTGGTGCCTGTTTGCTCTGACTAAACCTGGAGTTTTATGAATCCTGCGCCGCTTTCTCTATAATTTGAGCAGAAGTGTTGCTTTTGAGTGATATCGCCTCAACTATCTCTAGGGAGAGCTTTTAACGAATAAAGTGGCACTGTCCCAAATGGTGATTAATGGCCATCTGACTACTGGGCAAGGGAGCCCCTTGCAAGCCGTTAAGAAATATTGTGTTAAAATTACATAGCGAAATGCTCCAATTAATTTAGGTTCGTCAGATTGGGCTAATTTTGAGTGACGCATAACTTCCAATGGGTTACTGGTTTGAATTTTACATTCATCACTCGCGCAGTGAAATCCACATATTTTGCTCACCAGACAACTTACTTGGCAATCTGATGGTAGATTCTTGGACATATTAGCAATGACACTTAAGAACTTAATGTCGGATAAATTTTGTTGTGCTATGAGTTTGGGTGATCTTTGGTCCTGACTTTAGGTCATTGTTGATGATATACCGTTTGTCTTACAGATCCACGTTAGCGGTGTTTTGCACCCGAGGATATACTGATTGCAACAAACAGAGGGAATATGCAGTGATCTCTACTTAACTGACTGAATTCAGGTGTGAGCACCTGGCCACATAATACCATTGCGGCGTAGATGCGGAGGGCTAATTTCTCCTTGCCACTCATTGTTAAAGATACAAGTTTCTAACTTCAATGGAATTCGATTATTTGTATATTTCATGCGGTGCTTGACGTTTGTGATACGAGTAAAATTTACCATCGGAGGCGTGATCTGTCATCGCCTGGCCGGCATCTAAAATTGAAAGAGACAACGGCAATTGGGAGGTAGTCAATCCTAATTCGGGAAAATCAACTTTTATACCCTCGCTTTTTGGGGAGATCACTGTGCATTGCGAGCGCACAATCTCTTGTATTAATAAAATGTTAGCGTTTATTCGTTTTTGCAGTGCGCCTGTTCAGAGGTTTCGCAATTTTTGACTAAGAAGGATGTAAATTTAGCGATGGGATAGTCTAACTCGTAGTAAAGCACAAGAGTTCGCTGTTCCGATCACCCACGCGTTGTTGGTTAATATATGCAAGCTTCTCATTGTACCAGTTAAGACAATGAGAATAGAATAAACATAATGCGACCAATCGATTACGCTCATTAAGTTGGGCGCTTAGATAGGGCTTGTTGCAAACGATAAGAAGACGACTAGCATTCTAATCGTTCAACATCGATTATGTTGGGCAATCAATTACACTAAAGTCCCTAATATCGGAAAATGCTTTTCTAGCTGCATTGGATCATACCATCCGCAATGTGTACGCAGACCCGTCCAATAAGTGATACGAAAAAAAACAAAGTTGCTGACACAAGTTGGTTTTGTTAAACAAGTCAAGTCATGCCAATTACTTATGAAAAAGTGCGCTAGACTGACTGAAAAAATCAGACATTTTTGAAATACTTAGATCGATTCCACTTAAATAAATATGGTCACGGTAATCCCCCAACCAGCCAAAGTAACTTCTAAATCTAAGCCGAAGAAAAGAGCTAGGCGCTGCAACCGCACTGCAGCGTCTGTGTCTCCAAATCCACTGGGTCACCTCAATCACGTACGTTGACAAGCTGTAAACATGCCTGCTTCCACTTACGCAAACACAGTCGCTTCA